CGTTCACCAGATGGGGGTTTCAATCCCACCTGACATTGAAGAGCATCCAGAGAAATGAAGCAAGTACTTGCTGAACTCCTTTGCTTACTGCTGGAAACTAGAGTGTCTGTGTTTACTGTATTCATGTACACACTTCAGATGTACTACACGAAGAAGAAGTCTGTATGTTCATCTCATCTGAGTGACCTTACTTCAGTTAATCTTTGAAAAACAGTGTCTCTGTTCTGGTTTAGATCTGGGATGCCCTCTTAGGGCCTCCTGCCTGCTTGGGTGGGCCCTTTGGAAGGTGATGGACTCATGGGCCTTACTTGCTGCTATGAGTCTGGTCACAGGGCACATGACCTGAAGGGGTAAATATCCCTTCCCAGCTCCTCTCTGCTCCCTCTGCTTCCTGAGCTCCAAGACATGAGCAGCTTTCCTCCACTGTGCCCCTCTGCTACCCTGTTCCTTCCTTGGAGCAGGCCCACCATGGACTGAAACTATGAATCATAATAAACTTCCTCCTTTGTGCTGTCAGGAATTTTGTCCCAGCAATGAGGAAAATGAGACACTCCTGATATATGTAGTCCTGCAGAACTGTATATTGTTGATGTCTCCTGCAAATAATTATGATATTTTGTACATTTCTTATGACTTTGGATAATAAGCATTTCAATAAGTACACAATTTGGACTTTTTCACATCACAGGCTTTAAATCTGAACAAATTACAAGTATAATGAAATTTGATTACAGCCATTCCATTGGCACATCTGGAAATTATACCTTGTGATTTTACACATTATAATTTATCATTTATGCTGATTAGTTGTAACATAAAATAGGTTATGTTGAAAATGAGAGGGCTGGTCCTCAGTGGAGTTCTAACCCAGTGTCAGACTGTGATATAAAAATGTCTCATGTCTTAACATTTCTTTTGCAGTGCTAAATCATACATTTCTTTTTTGAGCATGAGTTTTAAAATTTTGTTTTGCTTTTAGTTGGTATGATAATGAGGCAGGTGATTAAACCATGGCAAGCTGACTGCAGGATTAGGCATGAACTGTCTACCCTCAAGACCTGTCAAATCACAGCTAGGATGCATGTGCAGAGCAGCTTTTCAGCCCTGTTTGAGAGGTCTGGATCTGATGTTGGAAGAATAAAACATATAAAACATGGTGCTGTTGACTTCATCACCCCTGTCCTCTGGCTTATGCAGTGGCCCACCTAGCATGCAGGGCATATCTTCTCTTTCTTCATAGCTCTTCTTGCACTTGAGCCTTCTTTTTACTCTCCTTCACTTTTTTTCTCCTTACTTTATCTTGAACTTTTACATTCATTGGTTGTGTCATTCAAAGCTTTGAATGAGACACCAAGAATCTGGAAAGGACTGCTGGGCACCTCACTGTTAGATGACAATAAGAAACTTTAACAAGAGACCTTCCTTCTCAGAAATGCTCAGTGTGCAGTGCAGTATCGCTAACCATGAGAACAATGCTGCACACCACATCTCTGGATCTCAGTCACCTTCATCACTGGAATTTCACTCCTATTGAACATCAAATCCTGTTTCCTCCTCCTCTCAGCTCTTCACAATATCATTGTACTTCTGGTTTAAGTATTTGATTATTTCAGTGGGATAAACAGTGATTTTCTGTCTGTTCCTGGCTTATTCCTCCTGGTATAAAGTCAAGAATAACATAATTTCTACATTTCCAATATTTTGAATAATGCTGCAATGAACATGGTAATTCAGATGTCCCTTCAAGATCATAAATTCAATTATATTGAATAGATATCAGATTGCTGTATGGTGTGGTAGGTAGATTTTTAAAAGTTTGAAGCCTTTATACTCTTTTGTATACTGGATATGTTTGTACATTTTCACCAACAGTATATAAATGCTTCAGTTTCTCCATATTTATATGACTACTTATTGTCATTCTCCATTTATTTATTTTCATAATGTCTGTGCTAACATGTGGAAGATAATTTTTATTATGATTTTTATTTTCATTTTAACATCTCCAGATTACTAAGAATTATCTTAATATTCAATCTTTCCAAAAATCTCAGATCTCAGTTGAATGTTTTCAGAAATGGAGAAATCAATCCTAAAAAGTCATTAGGAGGGTCGGGTATTTAGCTCAGTGGCTCCAGTGCCTGCTTTGCAAGGACAAGGTCCCGAGTTTGATCCCCGGTTACAAAAAAGAAAATAAGTCACAAGGAAACACAGAAGATACCAAAGAACAAAATCAATTTTGAAAAGCAACAAAGCTGGAGTCATCCTACTCACTGTTTTCAAATATGTTTACGAAGCTATATAATTAAAAGTGAATAAAGAGTATGTTGTTGGCATACAGAAAAAATATATATATATATATATACATTTGGACCACATTTGAGAGACTGGGATCAACCTCAATTACCTGTGCTCAACAAATCTTTAACATGAGTGTCAAGGCCAAGAATACACAATACACAAAGAGGAGAGGGTAATGTCTTCAGAGAAGGGGCCAGGAAAGCCAAATATGGAGATGTGAATGTATGGAAATAGACCTTGGTCTCACATGATACAGAAAAGTCAGTCCAGACTATATTAAAAATTTGAACATAAGACCAAAAAGAATATTTCTGGAAAAAAAATTGTAAGGGAAAAGATTGAGTCTTTGGGCTGAGCAATAAATTTTCTTAATACAACACTAAAAGTCAGGAATATAAAAACAATAGGTGGCTTTACAAAATATAACAATATTATGCCTAATAAAGGAACCAATCAGAGAGGGAGGAGGCAAACTAATGAAGTACAAGATAGGAAATTTATTTTATTTTATTTATTTATTTATTTATTTTTTTGGTACCGGGGATCGAACTTGGGTCCTTGCACTTGCAAGACAGGTGGCGGAACCACTGGGCTAAATCCCCAGCGCTGGAAATATATTTATAAACCATGTATTTAATGCGAGATTAATATTGACAAAAAAGAAATTCTTAAATTAATAGAAAAAATATTTAATTTATAAATAGACAAATGACTTGAATATTATTTTCTTTGAAAAATAAAGTGGCCAACAAGTCTATAAAAATATTCAACATCACAAATCTAAAGTATTTTAAACAGATTCTAAAGAATATTGTTCATCCATTAAGTAGCACCACGTAAGGCCTTATTCCAGAACTATTTACATTTATATTAGGACTTCCACCACATACTGCTATTTTGAACCAGCAGATAATTGGAGTTTATTCTGCAGGGAGTGTGGTTTGTGAGCCACACCACCTGCTGCCTCTGTGGCTAGAAACAGCCTCAACTAGTCCTCATCACAGTGTAAACTAGTCCTCATCAAAGTGTACTTAAACCTGATTCTGCTGTTTCTTGGAAAAGACAGAATTTCTGATAATTTGAAGAATGTTTCAGAAGACAAAATCTAAACCTGTAAGGACATTTTATTGCACTAATCATTTTAATTACTAGACAGCCTAGGTTAAAGTGCAGTTATTATTGACTATTCCATATGTAAATCACATGTATTTCTCAAACTCTGATTTACTCCAAGTTCTGTGTAGGAAGTAAGCACCAACTATTTTCTGGAAAACAAGATAAAATACTGAATTTATATGTACCTAGGTAAATAAGAGAACTCCTAGCTGTGTGCACATGTTCCTCCTCCTGATAGAGACAAATCAAAGTAGAGATCAACATGAATCTAACAGTGGATCATAAGAAAATGTTTGACATTGTCAGCTCTCTGGTACATTATATTTCAGGAATAGGAAAGTCATTTGGTAAAATTCATGTCATACCTATGTAATCTAGTAATCATTTCAGATGTTACATATCTCATAGCATTTCTCTAGTTTGTTTGTTTGTTTGTTTTTTGGTACTTGGGATCGAACTCTGGACCTTGTGCTTGCAAGGCAGGTGGCGGCAGCACTGAGCTAAATCCCTGGCATGATTTCTCTAGTTTTAATGCCTTAAAAATGTCCAAATAATAAAGACTCAGGTTTTGCTTTATTTCCCAAATGAAAGGGAAAAGTTGTCTTAGACTCTTCTGTAGAACCAACCTGTCAGCACATTCTTCAATTAAAGTTATTTGAAGCATTTAAATTTAAAGATAGGGATAATATAATTCCTTTAAGTTGTAGGTGTTGAGTGTTTGTTCCCAGCAATTGCAAAATAACAAAGTATATACAGGCAATTGTATTCTTACATAATATGCATCAGGAAATGAATATAATTGAATTTAAGAAAACATACAGCTATCCTCTATCAGAATTCATAAGGTTAGCAGAATTGCCTTAAATTATCATACATTTGACAAAAATTGTATAATTTCTGAAAGACACTGCTGTGATCCCAGTAATTTTTAAACTTCTATAGAGCTGAAGTTATCATAAACTAATTTAAATGAATTGAAAATTTTATGCACGAAGAGACAAAATGTATTACCAAGAATCCCAGCAGCTAGCCAGGCATGGTAGTGCAGTCCTGTTATCCCAGCACTCTGGAAGGCAAGGACATGAAGATCACAAGTTCTAGCCTTGCCTGGGTAACATAGAAACTTAGAAAGACCATGTCTCAAAATAAAGAATAAAAAGAAGGCTCACGATGTGGCCCTGTGTCAAGAACCTGAGTTAAATCCCCAGCCAAAAATATAAAATGATATTGCAAAATATAAAATTAAGTACTTTAGTTTTAAAAAGGCAAATGTGATAGCCATTTCTAAGCACAATTAATAGAATTATTAAGTTAAAA